ATTGAAAGGTCTGTGGTATTTGACCCCACCATTCATGCCATAGGAGAAAGATGTGGCAGTCTGCCTCTATAACAGTTACATTCTTAGAAACCCCACGGGCCAGTTCTAGTCTGTCCCTAAGGTTTTCTATGAGTGGGAATAGACTCAGGAGCAATGAGTTTGGTTTTGCCTGTATGTATGCATTCATGTGTGTATACACACATACATAGACATATATGCATATGCATGTAAGTATGCATGAATACATAATACATTCTTATTGTTCTTAAGTGCCATTGAGTCAGTTCCAATTCATAGTGACCCTGTGTAGGGTTTCTGAGAAAGAAAAAGAGCAAGTAGACAACATGATTGTTGTTTCTGTTGTTACATGCCGTCAAGTCGATTACAACCCATAGCAACCCTGTATAGGGTGTCCAAGGTGTGCTTGAACTGACCTTGCAGTTCAAACGACTTTGCAGTCTGATGCATTAGTCCACAGTGGCACACTAGTTAACGCTAATTCTGTGGATGAATGTGTCCTTGGCATACTATCTTCAGAGAGCCTTAGTAGATTTGTTAGTATTAAATTTCACTTTACTTCTGGTTCTCAATTTGTCTAACTATGGAGTAGAGGTCTTATATCATATAGACTGTTGTAGTTGTTTGTTTTCTGTTGTGCCTTGATTAATGTGATCACATTATTGACTTTATTAGTGTTATTTTGGTGCATTAAGGCTACGTTTGGTGCAATTCAATAGTGGATACACTATGGGGAGAAGGATCCAGAAGATACAAAAGTGGTTTCTTGGTAACGTAGAGTCTTTTTTTAAGCCAGGGAGGCGGATCAATGGTGAAGACCATGGATTTGGGTTTAGGAAAGCCGTGACTATAAACCTCAGCATTGCTGTTTAATAATTACATTTTCCTCAACAAATTATTGAACTTTTTATAGCTCACCTCTCTTGATCTGCTAAATGTTAGTGATGATAACCCTACCTCATAGTGTAGTTGGGATATTGTTGTTGTTGTTAAGTTCTGTCAAGTCGATTCCAACCCATAGTGACCCTGTATAGGGCTTCCGAGGAGCAGCTGGGAGCTTCAACCTCTGACCTTGCAGTTGAAATGGCTTTGCAGTCTGGTGCATTAACCCACAGCACCACACCAGGACTCCGTAGTTGGGATGACTATATATCAATTAACAAAGTGCCTGTTGTTGTGAGTTCTGACTTTTAGCGACCCTGTGCATAGCAGAGAGAAACGTTACCTGGTCCTGTGTCATGCTCATAATTGTTATGGCTGAGTTCATTGTTGCAGCCACTAGATTACTTTCTCTCATTGAGGGTCTTTCTCATAGTGTCCTGTTGTTGCTTTTGTTGTTATGGGATGCTGTCAAGTAGGTTCTGACTCATAGAAACATTTTATAGGGTTTGTGAGGCTATAAATCTTTATGAGAGCAGAAAGTCTCATCCTTTTCCTGCAGAGTGACTGGTGGGTTTGAACTGCCGATCTTATGGTTAGCACTCCATTGCTTATCCTACAGGGCTACCAGGATAACACAAAGTTCCTATCACATGTTGTTGCTGTAGTGCTGTCGAGTCAGGTCTGACTCATAGCGACCTGTATAGGGTTTCTGAGGAGTGGCTGGTGAGTTTGAACAGGCAATTGTACAATTCAAACCAAGCTTGTATCTCGAGTGCTGATCCTACAGTACCACACCAGGACTCTACCTACCATATTACTATATGTGCTTAATATATATTTTGTTGTTGTTGTTGTTAAATGCTATCGAGTGGGTTCTGACTCATGCGACCCTGGACAGAGTTTCTAGAGTGGCTGGTGAGCTTGAAGCACTTACCTTGTGGTTCAAACCAACCTTGTGGTACAGGACATTAACCCGTGTATACTTATTATTTATTTTCTGTCTGTGGCTTACTTAAACCCACTGAACTGATTGAGAGAGAAGACAAGGGAGTAACAGAGAGGGTGATAAGTGAAACCTTTTAGGTCGTTCTTAATTGCATTGCATTTGACCATGGTTCCTGGAAAAGCAACACCTTGGGAGCAACCGCTTTCTTATTTTCTCTTTGGCAATAGGTATCATGCTTAGAGGAGGCCCATTTCTTTCCGCCTTCCCTCTTCTGATGGTTTTTGTGTGTTTTTAGAGTTTCTGAAACACCTTTCCTTTCGCTTCTTGCTTTCATGATGATCATAGGCTTAGAGTGAAACTTACCTCGAACCAGAGGAAGTAAAAGTTGGGGTAAATTTTGGTCCACCAAAACCAGCTCTCACCCTCTCTCATCTTTGTGTTTACATTTGTCTTTTGTCTGAGAGGCTGAGAAACTCTAACTGACATAAACTAGCTGTCTATTCACCAAACTTGTGAGGTTTCCTCAAAGCTATGTATCAAATGAAAGACTACAATTAGAACTTAAGGGAAGGAAGGTTGATTGTTGGTACTTTACAGACTTTGATTTTGCAAATGAGTATCCTCACTTGTAAAAGGCCACCTGCTAGTTAAAGGTAAAAGCTGAGACTACAGTTGAAGCTGTGGAGACTCTGTGTTTATGTGCTGGCATTTGTTGCTTGCTTTTGTTGTTATTAAGTGCAGTCCAGAGGGTTCCAACTCATAGTGACCCTATATAGGGTTTCCAAGGAGCAAGTGGTAGGTTTGAACTGCTCACTTTGTGGTTTGCAGTCCAGTGCTGATCCTAGAGGAGCACACCAGTGGCCTTTGTTTTATAAAGGTCTTATATGCTGGACTTGAAAAGTCACTTGAACCTCAAAGTTGGCGGTTCAAGCTCACCAGTTGTTCCTTGGAAAACCCTCTATAGGGTCATTATTGGTTGGAACCTACTCAATGGCACTTAACAACAACATAGAAATGAAAAGCAGCTTGACTTTGAATAGGGATCTGACTAGAGTGATGTAAGGAAAGGTTACCCATAGGCACATATAGGATGGATATAAAAGCTTATTAAAACAAAACTTATTTAACTTCCCAAACTTTTCCCCAAGTATTCTTCCTAAGGTTCTCATTTCAGTACAACTGGTCTACTTTCTATCCTTGAGAAGTGCTTAGTCCCTTTCCCTTAACTTACGTTATCCCTCCTTTAATTTTGTTATTTCATTGACTGTCATAAAACTTCCTGCTTTATTTTGGTAGTGGACAGTCCCTGAGTCACTGGACAAGGGTGGGGTGTTGAGAGTTCCTGTCCAAAATCACGTCACTCACGCGTGGCATGGCCTGATGTTAATACTCAGACTGTGTTAGATCTTTCCCCATCTCAGCTGTTTTTCCATTTCGTTGTTCCTGCTTTTCCAGTGGTCTTTGTTTTATCAGACATCTAGAAGTAATCGTGGAGCCCTTTCAATTAATTCCATTCATTTGGTACATTACTGGGTGGGCTTTGGGTTAGGGTTCGGAGGAAGGTGCCTTCCGGGTCTCCTGTGCTAGAGAGCTCTTGCAATCAGGCTTGGAGAACCGCCCTCGGCAGCAATCTGTGAGACTCATCTCCACCGGCAGGCTGCCCAGGCAGATGATGAGTTTACCCTGATAGGCATCATTTATTTTCTCAACATAGCATGTGTAATTGATCAGAACTGAGTTTGGACTGGGGTGATTTGTGCCCTTCTACCTAAAGGAACTTTTTCATGAAGGTCCAATAGGTATTAACTCAACATTACTCCTGATGGGCTATTTCTTTGTTGTGAGAGACTGTCCTGCATATTACAGGGATTGGATATTCTTATCCTCTGTTCTTTAAATACCAGTAAATTCCTCAGGCACTGTGGAAACCAGCGTCCTTTCCTCTTGGTGGGGGCAGAACTGCTCCTACTGACAGATAATTTTGAAGTGTCCTGCTGTGCACTCATTATACCCAGCTTCAAGAATACACTTTTAGTGATTCCTTATTCACTACAGAATAAATTGAAACTCTCTAGGCTTGCATCCAAAGCTGTCTGTGCTTTGGTGCCATCCACACTTTAGTTTTTTGCTAGCTAACCAACCAGTTGCCATTGAGTACATTCTGACTCCCGGTGGCCCCATGCGTGTCAGAGTAGAATGGTATTCCATAGGATTTTCATTGACTACTTTTCTGTGAAGATTACCAGACCTTTGTCCGGAGGCACCTCTAGATGCAATCCAATTTCTAACCACTTGGTAAACAAGCAAGCACATTCGTGATTTGCATTACCTAAGGATTCATTTTGCTAGTTGTCTTTCCTTACTTCCCCTCTTTAGCCACAATAAGCAAAAATGCATGGACTTTTCAGCCTATATTCTCTTGCTAACATTGTTCAGGTCCTGTCTCTCTTCTCACCACACAAGGCCCACCAAGAATGTGCCCTTATCAATAAGGTCTTCTTAGTTCTGATCCCAGCATGAAGTAATCTTATATATTCTTTGCATTTCATCAACACTAATTACCTTATGTACCTATGTTCTGGTGTGAAGCTGTAGGATCAGCACTGGATTACGGACCACAAGATCGGCAGTTTAAACCCACCAGCTACTCTTTGGAAACACTATACAGGATTGCTGTGAGTCGGAACCGATTTCACGGCACTTACTTAAAAACAACAAATTACTTTACGTAGGTACCTTGTCACCATTTACTTGGTGTGGTAGTTAAACAGATGATTATATAAATACAGCAAAGCTTTTTCCAACCATGCTGTCTTAAGATTCTCCTTCAGGATAGTGACTACTTTTAATTAATAATCTTTCTTTGAAAAGTGCTTGGTGCTAAAATTGGTAATTATTGGAAGGGAGACATTAAAGACTCATCAAGGGAACATTTTTTCCTCCTTTTCCTCTTTCTTGTTCTTGTCTTCCTTCTTCTCTTTCGACTTCTATTTCCGTCCTATTTCTTCTCCTCTCCTTCCTTCTCCTCTTTCTACAAAGCTTTATCAAAGTACGTGGAAGTATGGATTAACACAAAATAATGAAGTAAGATAAGTTTTATGGTATTATAAAAGAGTTTCTTTTCTTTTTTTCTTTTTAATTCCAGATTGCAATAATGTCTCACCCTTCTTGGCTGCCACCCAAAAGCACCGGAGAACCCCTTGGCCACGTGCCTGCACGTATGGAGACCACCCATTCCTTTGGGACCCCCAGCATTTCTGTGTCCACACAGCAGCAACCCAAGAAATTTGCACCAGTAGTTGCTCCAAAACCCAAGTACAACCCATACAAGCAACCTGGAGGTGAGGGTAAGTGCTGAAATTTGGGTTTCAAAAGAGGGAAAGTTGAGTGCAGTAGCAGTGATTTAGAGTTTGCTGCTTTGTTGGAATAATGTAGATCATGACTTTATAGTGTTATCACAGCTCATGGACTGTCCCAGTTTAAACACTGCCTAGAAATCATCTATGCCAACCCCTCTTCTAGGGACAAAGAGATTGTAGTCTCATAGGAACTATATGACTATGGTCATACAGTGAATTATGAGTAGAACCAAGACTAAAACCTTAGTCTCATTAGTTAATATTGCTCAGTGCATTTCTACATTCTTATCCTGTACCTACTATCTGTTTGTCTTCTAGGTATTTTTCTAACTTAATTGTGCCACTCTCCTGAATTTTGCCAAGTATCCCAAAGTGCTGACAACCCATGCTCAGATGGAAAACCCATGCAGTTGAGCACACTAAGATGCTTGGAATTGTCTTGTCTTTTTGTCCCCCAGGCTGCTGTAGGGTAAAATTGTCTAGAGCTCTCTGTTGTTATGTGAGATCTTTTGATGAAGTTCACTGACAAATTTTAGTGACACTTAGTTTTTGTGGTTTTAATGGTGGTAGATTCAGTTTAAACTAATTAGAGTTTAATGGTCTACCTGAGGTCAGCATCTCTTTCTTTTAAGAATTCAGTGTGCATGCTTACGCACTAAATCCCCTGCATAGCATAAAGAGGGATCTACTCTTTAGTTGAAGAGATTCCATATTTTTGTGAATCAGTGTCCATGGCTCATCTAAATCCATGAAAGTAATAGCCTATAACTTACAAACAGAAGAATATTGGACTTCTGGGATCTGAGAGAGAAGGGACAGTGGAAGGAAGTCTTCCTCCTTCTCTTTTTTCTTACCTACCTCCTTTTTTTAAGAAAAAAAAAAAAAGCCCTCCCTTCTTCATGATGTTACGTGCTTGCTTCTTGGATGACCTTAATATGTTTGTTTCAGCAATCTTGCTTAAGCTTTTTCACACTGTGGATAGATTTTCTCCTGGCCATCTTCCATGATCCACCCCCCATCCCACCCCCCTTATTTCTCATTTACTCCACCCTCTTTTTTTGGAGTCTGTAAGTTGGAAAATAAAATATCTGGATTTGCATTTACTCCATGATGTATTTTGGTCATTCTTTCTGTGTTCTTCCTCCTTCTCAACCTGTTCCCTGTAAAACACTTGATTCATTTTTTAGGACTGAAGCCAGAAGTCTAACTTGTATATGGTGTCTAGAGCTTGGGCAGGATGATAGGGAGGTAGACCTGTACTGCAGCTGTGGATCTCTGGGTATCATCTCTCCTGAAAGGGCACCAACAAGGCCATCAGAGAGCTTCTCTGGAAAAATAGCAAAGGAAGCCCTTGATGGTCTCTGAATCTCTACTGCAGTGCCTAAAGTTTTATTGTTCTTGAAGAAGTCTGCACCTTTGTAATCTGTCAAGGATTTAGTGGAACTGGTTTTGGTTTTGGGGGGGTGGGGAAGGGACACGAAGAGGTCTTATCATTCTTGAGTGATTGCATGGCTCAGGAATGGGATTTGGATGAGAAGGGCAGCAGAATCCATGTCTTGACATCTTCATTGGTTGTCTTAGCCTTTCCCTTTGTCTGCTTACTAAAGAGGTTGTTATATTGTCTCCTAACTTTTGGGGAGACTTTCTTCTTATAAGGAGAGAATAAAGATATGCCCATCAGTCTGTGGACGCTTATCTGTTGCTACGATGCTAAACAGGTTTCAGTGGAGCTTCCAGACTAAGACAATCAAGACAGAAACACCTGAAGATCTGCTTCCAAAAATCAGCCAATGAAAACCCCGCAGTTCATGGGCATGGTGCAGGATTTGCAGCATTTTGCTCAGTTATGTAATGGATTTCCATGTGTGGGAGGCTGACTCAATGGCAGTTAGCCTACTATCGTATGTAGAGTAAGAAGCACAGGTCTGAGGAAGTCCCAGAAGGTATAGTATATACTTGAGGGTCAGGGTAGGGGCGTGTTCAGTGAGCTAATCACTGCCAGACAGAGCAAAGAAAGTCCCAGAGTGGTCTCCTTCTGACTTTTTCACTCTGAAGACTGTGTATCACAGTGAGTTAGTCCTGTGGCGGATTCTTCTTGCATTGAGATACTGAGATGCCTTGCCCTCGTCACTGTACTCTGTGTGGTTCTCCCACATTGTCAGGTCTGCCAATGACACAGGAATATCAGCTTTGATAATTTTGCATGCGCTGCAATTCACAACTCTTTGTCCTTTCTCAATTCACCACTCTATACCTTTATCTCTGTTATCCAAATCCTACTTTTTTAACTTTCTCTAAAAATGTCTTCATCCTGTGTGGCCTCAGTCAGAGTTAATCACTTTGTATTTACGCACACATCATCTTCTGTGACTACGAAAGTTTTGCTTCTTATGATATTGCTCCAGCTTTTACTGTCATTTACTGAGCACATAATGTATGTGCGGCACTGTGTGTGTGTTTGTGTGTGTGAGGTTTTGAATGATTATCTTCTAGCGGTAATTTCAAGCAGCCCTGCTTTCACAGTTATTTAAGTGTAGGGCTGCTAACTGCAAGGTCATCAGTTCACACTCACCAGCAGTTCTACTCTATCTATAAGTTCGCTCTGAATTGGAATCTACTCAGTGGCAATGAGTGAGTAAGCAATAACTATGAAGCAAGGTTTTTCTTCACATAAAGAAAAGGAAGCTTGCAGAGGGAAGGTGACATTCTCTGGGTTTTATGGTAAGTCTTTGAACTCATGCTGTTGCCTTAACCAGTGTTTTCTGCTGCTTGTCCTATTCATGGTATGAATATGTGATGCATGGTCAATATGAAAGAAATCAATGAAAAAGCTAAAAACCCATTGCCGTTGAGTAGATTTTGACTCATAGTTATCCTATAAAATAGAGTAGATTGCTCCATAGTTTCCCACTCTTCCATGGATTATCTGGTGAGTTTGATTGACCAATCTTCCCCGTAACAGTCAGTCACATAAATGGTAACTCGATACCATATTATGGCGATACTGCTCTACTTCTAAACGATTATAATTGTTGTTTTCCCCCTTTCAGCATAAAAAGTCACTTTCTTACTCATCCCTCTGTTCTCTTGGTTCTTACCATGTTGTTGTTGTTAATCGCCTTTCAGTCAATACTGACTAATAGAGAGCCTGTATAGGGTTTCTGAGGAGCAGCTGATGGGTTTGAACCAGGGGCATTGTGGTTAGCAGTCCAGTTCTTATTCTACACCAGATTCTTATCATACTACTGTGTTTATAGTAGAAATGGCTGTGTAATGAATGGTTGGTAGTTTATATCCTTTACCCATACTTATTCAATCGTATACTGAGCACATATATCGGTAGTTTCATATGGATCAACATATATTTTTGTGGTTGTTGAGTAGCTGGGTGGGTGAATGTGTACTGCGCAGTAATTCTTCTCTCGATATGTTGTTGTTGAGTACTGTTGAGTCGGTTCCAACTCATAGTGATCCTGTTTAGGGTTTCCGAGGAGTGTCTGGTGACTTTGAACTACCGACCTTGTGGCTCAAACTGACCTTGTGGTCCAGTGCATTATCCCATAGTGCCATATCAATCCTAGAATATTGCATCTTTGTTTTAAGGGACTTCATTTTTTTTTTTTTTTTTCTGTAATTTTGAGTTTTTCTTGCAAGTTTGCCGACTTTAAAAACAATCTTTTAAAGTTTTTATAAGAAGAAATTGTCTTGTATGTATACATTTTGAAGACAAGTAAGGGGGAAAGTTCAGGCATATCCAGATGTACTTTTGAAATTACAAATGGTATCTCTTCAAAATAAGAGGGAGTCTTGGTGTGCTGTTATGGGTTAATGTGCCAGACTGCAAAGCCATTTAAACTGCAAGTTCAGCAGTTCAAGCTCACCAGCTGCTCCTTGGAAGCCCTATGCAGGGCTGCAATGGGTTGGAAAGGACTGTATGATACTTAACAACAACAACAATAAACTAAGAGTCCTGGTGTGATGCTTTAGGATAAGCACTTGATCTCAAGGTTGGTTTGAACCACAAGGCTGGCAATTCAAATTCACCTGCCTCTCCTCAGAAACACTATAAAGGGTTGCTGTGCATTGGAATTGACTCAATAGCACTTAACAACAATAAAATAAATACAATAAATGTGCAAATTCTTTTATATTTAATTGAAATATTATCAGGGCATTTATCTTTGCTTGACAACATTTTTTAGAAGACATCTATTACCTGGTGTTTCCACTAGTATGAGGAACACTGTAAATGAACAAAAACTAAAATACAGAAATTTTTAAAATGTTTAAATGGTATATACTTTAAAATGTATATTATTCTTTATTTTTTATTCATGAAGAGCATTCCTCATCACTAGTGGAATCACCAGGTATAGTAGGTATCTTCATTCCCTAGTGCTGCCTTAACTTAATCCCAAAGTCGGTGACTTTAAAGATCATAAATTCATTTTATTACAGTTCCAGAGGCTAGAAGTCCAAATCAGGATATTGGTAAGCTCATTCTTTCTGAGGACTCTGAAAGAGGGCAAGTTCCATGACTGTCTACTAACTGTGGTTTCTGCTGACAATCCTAGGCATTCCCTTGCTATTTGTAGATATGTCTCTCTGTATGACTGTTTCCCTGTATCTTCTCAGAAGGGATAAAGACCTACCCTACTTCAATATCACCAATTCAAAATATCTGGTAACATCTCCTTTGAAAAATCCCATTTCCAAGCAACGTCCTACTTACAGGTAGAGGGGTTAAGATTTCAACATATTTGCGGGGGTGTAATTTAATCCATAACAGTTCTATTAAAGTGTGACTCAGTGATTCCTGGGTCTTGTGCGTGGGCTCATGCTATTCTTTGCCTTTAGTACACATTCTCCTCCTATTTCCAGTTCTTGACATCTTTTAGACATAGCTTAAAAGTTGACTTTCAGGAACTCCAACAGCAAAGACAGAAAAAATAGAACTAATGGAGATCACTTGGTCGAACTATTTTTTT